AACCCATCCTGGACAATGATCCCTCACTTTCACAGACCTTGGGAGGCAGGCCAGTCCTCGCCCACAGACAGCCTGCCAACCTTAAGCATATTCTCACCAGCAACCACGCACCGCACCATAACAACTCTAACTCAGGAACCAACCCATGCGACAAACCTCGATGCCAACTCTGCCCACATATCTACACCAGCAACACTATCACAGGACCTAACCAGATCAGCTATAACATCACCGGCTCATTCACCTGCACGTCCACCAATGTTATATATGCCATCATATGTCAGCAATGCCCCTCTGCTATGTACATTGGCCAAACTGGACAGTCACTATGCAAGAAGATAAATGGACACAAGTCAGATATCAGGAATGGCAATATACAAAAACCTGTAGGAGAACACTTCAACCTCCCTGGCCACACAATAGCAGATGTAAAGGTAGCCATCTTACAGCAAAAAAAACTTCAGGACCAGTCTCCAAAGAGAAACTGCTGAGCTCCAGTTAATTTGCAAATTTGACACCATCAGATCAGGATTAAACAAAGACTGTGAATGGCTATCCAACTACAGAAGCAGTTTCTCCTCCCTTGGTGTTCACACCTCAACTGCTAGCAGAGCACCTCACCCTCCCTGATTGAATTAACCTCGTTATCTCCATACTGATTTATACCTGCCTCTGGAAATTTCCATTACTTGCATCTGAAGAAGTGAGGGTCTTACCCACGAAAGCTTATGCTCCCAATACTTCTGTTAGTCTTAAAGGTGCCACAGGACCCTCTGTTGCTTTTTATAGAAGTAAAGGGTCAATACTAGCTACATTACTATTAGACAGAGGGGATCTTCTCCAATGCTCCCCATGCCCATTCTCCATTCATTGTATTGTAGTTTAAATAAATTACCAAAATAATTGAAACCAGCATTATTGCATTATTTTGATAAAAAATATGCAGAATTTTGCAGAATTTTAAGATCTTGTGCACAGAATTTTTAATGTTTTGGTGCAGAATTCCCCCAGGAGTAATATGCACCCCATACATCATTTGAAAATGCTATGTCTACTTTAAGACAAGGTATAATGTGAAGCTGTCAAGTGGTGCAATTACCACAGAAACAGAGATAAAACAATGACACCACATTAAAATGACCACTTTGAAATATTTCCATTTGTTTCTGTTTAATGACTATATTATTTCAAAACATAACATTGGATTTCTTTGTGACCTCAAAGCATCACAACAACAATCTAAAGGAGAACAAATCTAATAATAAATGTGTACAGATATCACTGAAATGTAATAGAGCTGGTAACATTTCTAGTCATCATCATCATCATCTTGTTCATCATGCTGAGAGTGTGTGGGTTATCATAATCTTCATTGCTTTAGCACATACACATTCTATGCAGGGAAGTCTGTTGACTACAAACACAGTTGATTGTGCAGTGACCCCTACAGGTACAGGCAGAAATAAGATCTTCTAGAAGCTCAGATGCCCTGCGGCCCTTGGAGAATACAGGAAATAGTTCACAGTCGTGCTGGAACAATTTTTATAGTGGGATTGCTGAGAGCCATTGAACCAAACTGTAAATCCTGTATATAATGGAATCCACATCAAGCCAGGGGATGCGGCAGCCCCCGCCACCCCACCCCCAGCACTCTTAGTTCCAGCACCTATGGTAGTTCATCCACATTTTTCCATCCATGTTGCAATGACGATCCAATATCTGGTTTGTCTATGTGCTAAAACATCCAAATAGTTGTTTGCCAGGGTGTTCTTTTGACATATTCTTCAAAACTGTCCTCATATGGTCGGCGTTTGGCCAGCGACTTGTCCTTTTTGTTGGATAGATTGAGACACAAGCAATTCAGGTCTCTGTGACTCTCTTTTTCTCTCTCACTCTGGTCATACAGCAGTACTACAGACTTCCTTCTTGCAAAAAATGCAGTTTGTGTCACTCTCCCCCCCATCAGGAAAGATTTCTGAAGCGGTAAGCTCCCTTTGTTTTGATTACATTAAACACAGACTTCCCCCCCCCCATACCAAATAGGGATGACACAGAGTTACACCCTATTAATTAGTGTACAGCAAGAAGTATGTTGCAGAAGTCAGTCTGAGGTGTGTAACAAATTGTGTGCACAGGTATGAAATGACACTTATCTGTTGTACTGGTAGTGGTGCCTATTTCAATCAACACATTATCATTTTTGGAAAGCAGTGAACAGCAAGCACCAAAACTTCAAGTGACCTAATTACTATGGTTCCTTTGACACCAAGAGACCCAAAACCCATACTGGCACATACAATATGCAGAAGCATCCTTGTGTCCACTTTTTCTTCAGTACTGTACAAGTCTTGGGCTTCTTCAACACCTACTGGTGATGGACTTCACTACTTCGCTCTCAGGTACATTTTGAACCATATATTCACAGAGAAATTTTACAAGCGACTGCTGGCTGAATGCCACGTTTAGAAACTTTTTCCATGGAGGCACAGGGGACCCAAT